ATCTACGGAGGCGTTAAATAGTAATTGAATTAATGTGAGAACCTTTTATTTATTTATGGTGTTTAAATAATCAGTAATTTAAAAAGTTAATGAAAATATTCTATATTCTAATGTTTTATCTAAATTTTTTTATTTTAATATTTTTAGCTGTAATTTTACTATTGTTATCGCTCTTATTTTCTGATAATGTCGTCTATGGTCGTATAAAAATCAGCAGGTTTATACAGATAATCTATCTTTTAAAAATATTGGTGTTTGATGACTTGTATTAAGCTTTTTGATTAGTGAATATAGGTTTTACTTAATAACAATATAATCTAACGGAGTTAAAGTAATGCAGAAATTTAGAAGATTTGAAACTTTATAAAGTATACTAATTAAAATGAAAAAAATGAAAACAATTCATTAGTCATCGAAAATGTTTAAGACAATAGTGTCCTTAATATATCTTATTTCTGAAAGCAATCGAGAGATTTTCTTAAAATTATATAATGTCTTAGTTTTATTGCATTTTTTTATTTTACGATTCAGAGCAGATTTTCTGTAAATGAGTTATTAGGACAATTACATGAAAAATAATCAACAACAAGCCCCTAGAATATGGTAACTGAATTGTGCGAAAACGTTTGGGACAATAACCATTACAGATCATTTCTGCGCTGAAAATGTAAATCTATAAGAACGTTTAGAAAATTTTCCGTATCTAGCACATACAATGAAGCATATATATATATATATATATACACACACACATCTTTCATTGAATAATATGGTCATATTGTATATACTTATTTTTATACTGATCCTTTCTAATTCTCTAATTAGTTTCTTGATGTTAAGATGAAATTCATTAAGGAAGGCACCATAGTTTTTTTTTTATCGCAGATACAATGTTTTCTTTGTAATTTACCCCTGAAGATTATCTTAGAAAAGGTCGAAAGTACTTGGGTAAAAAAAACAAAAAACAAATAAACAAAAAAGAAAACAAAAACAAAACACGATATACGGGTGTTCTGTTGAGATAAATTGGCCCGATTATGACTAATGAATGTTAAAATATATTATATACACACACAAGTTTCATCAAAGACAATTGACAAGGTATTACAATTAACCTTTTTATTCAAATTTTTTTGTGTTCGCATAATTGTTTTTTATGGACAAAAAGTGTGTAAAAACTGTCCAAAGTCTTCTATATATCCAAGCAATTTCGGATTATTCGATTAGCCGTTATCAATGTTGTTTCTTTTTATAATGAATATGTAGATTTTTATATATGTGTATCTGTAGTGATGTTAAAATTTTATTTACTTTCTAAATACGGCCAGTACATTTTGGCAATATTCATAGTTGATATTCAATGTAGGCTTTTTTTTTCTATTATTAATGCTGCCTTTATTTTTAACATTGTTTTACATGTGGATAAGGGTATTATAATAATGTTTCTGAGTATGTTGCAGACGGAGTGGTGTGTTTCCGTATGTCTTTAAATGTGTCCTAATTGCGTTATGGTCAGAGAGATGTAACGTGAGCATTCTTGATAGGCGTCTAATAATATATCCAATATAATTATTCATGACTTTAATTTGATCAGGAACAGTTCCCTAAGGAGCATGTAAATTCACAAATAATATAATTTTATATACAATACTGGTTTTCTGTAATTTATATCTTGCAGGTGAGTTGTTTGAAATAAAGAAATACTCAACCCCAGTCGACTGAAACAAGAAAATTCAAATATTTATTAGGAAGTATTTAAAACAGTTAACCTTATCGACAACCAAAACTCACCTACAAGATGAAAATCGTTGATAATGGTTAAAAGAATAGCCGAAAGCGTTCGGATATATAGAATATATGAACAGTTTTTACAGATTTTTCCAGAAAAGAAAACACTTATACAAAAACTAAGAAAAAAATTGAATAAGAAGTTTAATCAAAGTACCTTGTTAGTCGTCTTTGATAAAACTTGTGTAAAAGAGAGATTGATGCACAAATAGATACACACACACACACATAATAAAAAAGGTGCAATCAATTGGGCCGATTTTAGTGTGAATTAAGTTTAAGCGTCTAAAATTGTTTTTCTTTTAGATTTAACAACTTAAGTTTTTGGCAGTTTCAACCAAGGAAAGATTAACAATAAAACAACGTGTTAAAGTTACCGAAGCCTATTACGAAAATGAACGTTCAAACAGAAATGCATTTCGCGCACTTTGCGATTTTTTTTGGTCAACATAATCGACCATCCAAGAGTGCATTTGGAAACGATGTAACATTGTTGTGGAGAGACTCAATTCCTGCGCCCGATGACGAAGAGAGGTGTCTGGATTTTCGGCCACATTCTCGTGCACTGCAGCAATGTTTTCAGATGAACGGCGTAAACGAGCACGCAATGGGGTTTTCACATCTGCCACTGACCCAGTTTGTCTGTATTTACGAAAAATGTTTCCAGTTGCACTCTTGAAACTTTAAAAAGTTGTTTGGTTGTTAATCTTTCAATGGTTGAAATTGCCAAAGACTTAAGTTGTGAAATCTAAAAGAAAAAGAAATAAAAATTCTTAGACGCTTAAACTTAATTTACATTTAAAATCGGTCCAAGTTATTGGAACTCAATCTCTCTCTCTCTATATATATATATATATATGATTGATATTGTTTAGCAGCATATCAACACCTCTATGGGTTATTTAATGCCGAAATATAAATATTTTGAACAATTTCATGGCTTTATCCAAATATATTTTGAATGTAATTGTATGCCTTCAACATTCAGATAAAAATTGTATTGTTGGTAATTTTTTTTTTATATATATAAAAATGTATTGCTGGTATTTTTACTATAAAAGTTTTATACTTTCATAATTTGGTTTGTTTGTGGGTTTCATTATTTGTCCATAAATGAGATAGAAATGGGAACAATAACAAATAAGAGGTGATCCCATGATCCTCAAAACCACCAATCTCCCAATAAGAGGCCTTGCTGCTGGATGTCGTTTATCGTCATACCGAGGATTTTATATATATATATATATATATATATATATTGTGTGTGTCTGTGTGTCATCCACATACATTATCACTACCCTTTAGTGTGGCTAGACGTCCGATTGCTTCAAGCCGAGATCGAAACTCGACCGATTGGGCATCAGTCAGAGATCCTACCTCTAAGCCAAGCCGACGGCACACAGCAGAAAGAAAGGGAAATTTTAGCGTTTTCTTTACGAAATACGCCAGCGGCTAAGAGAACTCAATTCATACTTGAAGAGTAATGCATTCATAGCCACTGTTTTTATTTACCTTTTTCTCTAGAGAGCTCTATCGAAGGGACTCCGAGAGTGTATATATGTGTGTGTGTTTGTGTTTTTGATTTTATTAAGCAAGTTAGTGTTGTCATTATAAAATTATTATTAGCCAACTAATGATCGTAAATATTTTCATGATATACATTTATATAATGAGAATTGCTGTTAATAATGTTTTTATCAGAGCTAGAAATAACGGGATATATTTAAGATACAATAGACACAGGTGCATATCGAGTAACCTACCTAACGAGCTTTTGTAAGTAGATTGTATAAGAACTAGTAAGAGGAACACTAAGTAGAAAAATGGTACTAAGAACTACAAGAGACAGGAACATGTGGAGAGTCATGATCACCAACGGTCTGAAGGGATACGGAACATAGAAATTATTTTTTGGTAGGATGATATTATTTTATGTAACACGAGTGTTGTTTACCATATTGCAATATATATATATATATATAATTATTTTTTATAAAAAAATTATAACATAAGTATGTTATAAAATCACTACAAAAATAGCCATTTTGTTTCAACACACTGTGTCTTATCAAGTGATGATGTTGAAAATAAAATAAATGGTTTTAAAAGTTTCAGATTAATTAACGATCCTACACCAGGGGGAAACATTGTTACAAAAGCTAGAATAACCAATCAAAAACGAAGTATAGAAAGATTCCAAAGCTTGACAACGAAATCATGCTATAATAGCTATTCAGATCTTTAAAATACGTGTAATATTAAAAATAATTTATACTAACCAATAATTATAAAATATGATAAAATTTAATATTAAAATTAAAAACTGGCAATTTTAAAATCCAAATTTAATCACTATTAAGTTTAAAAACTACAAAATTATTGAGAAAAGAAAAAATATATATGTTTATTCAATTCATTTCTTCATTGAAATTACGTTCGACAAGACGCTACAATATATCCGGTCATTTGACAATACATGTATATATATATTTTTCTTTTCCCTTTCTTTTCCTTTTTTATTTTAAAGTGTGTGAATGTGGTCTTAAACTCACGCGCAAAACAACAAAAACACAATCAGATTATAATACATAAGCACCCAGACATAATTAGATACACACCCACACACACATATATATATTATATACTACTGTGATTATTGGTATTTTTTTTTAGATTTTAGATACGCAAAGATTGTCATGTGTCGTAAGAAAGATAACTTCAAAAGAAACAAGATATTGGAAAGTGATGAAAACAAGCTTGAAAATCGAGTAAATAAAAGATCATCTGTTGCAAACATTGGAGATATAAGAACAAAAAGCGTAGTTTTAAGACTGTCATAAAAAGAGATTCGATAAAATATCAAAAGGATGGTAAGCAAGAAAGTAGATCGAGCAGCAGGAGAATATTTGAAATTTAAGTAAACATTGAAAAGAAAATTCTTTGTCAGTCAAAGAAGTGTAGGAATTACCACCACCTTGTTTTCCAAGACGCCCGCTAGGTGGCACTGTTCAGAACTTTAAAAAGACAGAGCAATAAACACTTCCATTTCTTTGTTCCGAAATGATGTAGCGAATGTAACAGGACTTCTCTGCACCGGTGGGGGGAGATTTCTTCTTTCTGGTAGTCCTCTTAATTTCGACCAGCCATATGTCACTCACTCAGTTCCTAACAATAAAGCCTACGAGTGTTTTTTCTTCGCTTTTCAGTTGACTTATGGCCATACTACATTGAAAAACCGGTTCTCGTATGATCACCGAAGTTAAGCAATGTCGAGTCTCGTCAGTAAGTAGATGGGTGGCGTCTTGGGAATACCCGGTGTTGTAAACTTGGATGTGAGGAGTGTGTAACAGAAAATGGTTGGAAATTGGAAATCTGGGAACTGAGTTCCAGTTGGGTTCGTTATATTGACTTACTCACAAATACCCATTCAGAATCCACCACTTCTTCCCACATCTATAGGCTAAATAGTAAGACTTGTATCAGTAAATCACTAATATCTCCAAAAAATAAAAAATTCTTAAAATATTTTTTGGCTTTAAATAACCTGCAAAAGGTTGATAAGCTCTAAAACACCCCACTGGATCAATTAAGCCTACATAGAGATGCGATTCTAAGAGAACTACGAGTCCTACCAGGATTTATTAATGATGCACACAATCTAAGATATGCAAATATCCCAATTTTAAACACAGAAAAAAAAACCAAAACAGCAGAAACATAATCAAGACAAGCGATAAAAAAAGATTGACTGATTCGTTTTCTACGGCTTATCAACTCTCTGCAGGTTATTTAAAGCCAGAAAATATTTTAGATTGTTTAGGGTAGATAATGATTTAGTTATAAAATTTTTGGTAGTTAACCCATAGTTGGTGGCGAAATGGATTCATACCTTTCCCAAGGGTATTTACGCATAAGTAAATGTAATGAACCCAACAGGAATTGGAAAACGGTTTTCCGATTAACAATTTAGAGCCATTATGCATTACACCACCTGACCATTCAAGCTTATAATACCTGCTATTCCCAAGCGGTCACTCATCTAGATACTGACCAGGATAGACACTGCTTATGTAATCGTACGGGAACAGGTGTTTCAATGTGATGCGGCCGTAAGCATAGAAAAAAGGACTACTCATCAATTATATGCAAACGATATATGGTCGGTAGCAAGCCGGATAGACCATGTTGCGAGTTAGTAACTGAAAAAAGTACTGGAATTTAATTACCTGGGAAGTGTTTAAACAGAACGGAAAATGTAACACAGAAATCCGAAGTCGCATTGGAATAGCGAAAGATGTCTCCCAAAAGCTAAACAAAGTATAAAGAAACAGGAAAATTTCTTTAGAAGCAAAGAAATAATTTCTGAAATGTTCTGTAATATCAGTCTCCCTGTATGGCAGTGGATGCTGGACAATCTCTTCATAAATGTGTAGACTTGATTTAACAGAAGAACGCCGAGAAAACAATGAGCTAATCATGAGGAAGTTTAAAAAAATAAATAAAAACAAGAAGGATTCTTAGATTTCGAATTCGAAAGAGAGAGTTGAATGATTTGGGGAAACAATGAGGAAAGACGGCTAGGACTGTTTGACACACACGGGACATTAGAGGCATGAAAGGCAGAGGGAGGTAACGAGATTGGTTTTATGGATGGCGGAACAGAAACTGCGAGTGATGGTAAAGAGATGAAAATTACTTAGAGCTACAAAAGTTGTCGATAGCTATGTCTGCCGATATCCTGAAGAGACACGGCATAATAAGTTGGTAAAAATTAAAGCTAAGTGTCAACTCCATGAAAGAGCGCTATTCACCAAAGTCACCATTATTGGTTTCATTGTCGATACGTAAAATACGAGACAGATACACGTATTTAGTTTAATGAAATCGCAATAATCAATGTGTCATTTCCGATCATGGCGCTCCACAGTCTTCTTGCTATCTCTTCTAATTCCTATTCTGTCAACCATTTACACAATTTCTTTAGGTAGTTAATGAGTTGTTTTCCTCGGTCCATCTTGCCTTTAGTAATATAACATGTTTTGTGAGGGTCAAATTTTCTAAGCCTACATTCCTCATTATGTATCCTAGAAATTTCAAGTGTCTTTCTGATGCAAGGCATTTTTGTTTCCATTTTCTCTGAAACTTCCTTATTTCTCACATGTTCAGTTAATGGGATTCTCAGCATTCTTCTGTAGATCCACATTTCTGTTGCCTTTTTGTCTTTTCATCTGTGACGTGATTGTCTAGCATTCACTGTCATATAGTCTGTTTGTTTAGCGGAATATCAACTGCTTATGTATCATTTAATACCGAAATTTAATTGTCTTGGAAGCATTAGTAATTTCTTTTACAGAAATGTATTGCTAATTTAAAAACAAAAGTATTGTATTGCTGCTAATTTAACAAAAATGTATTATGGCTAATTCCAAACAGAAACGTATTGTGGCTAATTCCGAACAGACATGTATTGTTGCTAATTTCTAACAAAAACGTATTGCTGCTAATTTCTAACAAAAATGTATTTTTGCTAATTATTTTAAACAAATGTATTGAAGTTAATTTTTTTAACAAAAATGCATTGTATTGCTGGAAAATTTTTATTTTTTTTTTATTTTACAAAAATGTCTTGCTAGTAGTTACTCTTACTAAGAAGTTGTATGACTGGCATTTTTACTGTAACATTTTTGTTTAATACTTTCATCGAGTTTTGGCCTCATAGCTGAGACATTAACAGGTGCTATTACTCCGTGTCAGTGTGGACCTGGGAAGAGCAGCTATTAAGAGGTGGTTCGTCGTTCCTCAAATCCTTCAAATCAGTGGCCTTGGTGCCGGATGTAGTTTATCGTCATACCAAGTACGGCACTGCCATATAGGATTGACATTACATAACAGTTCAAGCATCCTTTGTTTCTAACGAAAATTTCCAGTTTCTTTATAATTTGATTAGATTTTGGAAGGTTTCTTTCGTTATCCCAATGTGCCTTCGAATTTGGGTGTCCCATTTTCGGTCTTCTGTTAAAACATTTACTAGGTATTTAAATAAGTTGGAATAATGGCGATAATAATGATGATTATAATAATAATGAAAATAATGATAATAAAACGGAATTGCTAAGGACTTTCTCCAATTAATCGAGCGTCGTTTATAGATTTAGCACATTTTTCGAAGAAATCAGATTTACAAGAGGGACAACGCTTGAAGAATACCAAAGACTGACATCTCTATTCTAATTCAGATTGACGTCTTTGTGACAATAATTCGATAATCTTTCCAAGCTGCCAACACAGATTTCGCCAGTTTTAAACGTAACATCTTTATTAGATTTTTATCCCTCGGTCTCTTGGTTGAAACGCATGTCGTTTAGATTGCAGAATGAAAATAAAACTTCAATATAAAGTCCGTACATTCCTATTTTGTTTCGAGATAGCTGAACGTTTCGTTAATTAGAAAGGATAAAATATAGTCAAGCAGTCAAACTTTATATGCTTATTTTTGATTCTTGCGAAAATCTACGTTAAATCGTAACTCTTAAATACGCGCATAAATCAGAACTCAGTCGATTGTCTGTGATATCTTTCATAGATATAAAAAATAGTTAGCTGAAAGCATTTCTTGATGCATAAAGAATTATAAAGCTACTTCCTACGCACCAAAGCAATATAACTTGAGGTTTGTCCGTAATGTACATATTTACCAAATTTCCCAGATTGTTGAGATGCTCGACTCAAACATTTTGTATTTACAGTCAGACTAATATCCTCAGAGGAACGAGAACAACTCCCATAGATGAAATAAAGAGTTACCGTATTATCCGGTTTACAAGACGCAATTTTTTCCTGAAAAATACGTGAGCGTCTTCCAAGACGAATGTAAGGCAACGCCAAGGATCAAGTAAACTTGGACGGTCACCTAATTGGCTTGACTGATAGGAGGGGTTGATTTGCATGTTGAGTCATTACACTATAATGTTAGCTATCTAATGTAGCCTTTTATATGATGTAATCGCAGTAATTAGCTGCTACAAGTATTTTCAAAACTATAAACCTTCCTGGAGCCGAGTCACAAGCTTAAACATGTTCCGTTTACTATCAGCGACGGGAGCCTTTCTGATCTTGACTAATATGTCATTGCCACACAAACAAAATCGGGCGAGTGATTAACATAAACAATATATGGCACCAGTAAATGTTCTGTTGTATGAGAATGACTTGGCGCCGGTGAATGTGTTGTATGAAAGGTACATTTTTTTTTCTTAGAAACGTATTTCCAATATTAGGGTGCGTCTTCCAAGCTGAAAAATATGGTTATTCAAAATTCCCTGAAGGGTACCTAGCTGCACAGACACCTGAAGAAGGACAGAGAGCCCAACGGCCGAAATGTTGGGACAATAACAAACATGACAACATTAGCCCGAATGTAAATCAAGTAACTAATAACTTCTAATATCAGAAATTCAGACAGAAATTATGCATTTATTATTCCCATGGTGTTTTGTGAGATTGAGTCCAATGTCAAAAAGATTTAATAAGATAAATTCAGATGGAGACCCAATATATATATATATATATATATATATATATATATATATATAGAGAGAGATAGAGAGAGAGAGAGATAGATAGATAGATAGATAGAATTGTATGACAAAGTGGAAAAAGTTTACTTGCGACGCGTTTCGTCCTTCAGGACTTCATCGCGTTAAATTTGTTATGCTGGTATGACTACACATGCGCACAAACGAGAGGTGCTAGTCAATTTAGAATGTTTTAGAATTTAATTAAAGAATTTTTTATTATATACCTAGCCGGAGTCATTTAGAATCTTTTTTTTTTATCACTTTTATTAGTAGATATCCCACAATGTGATAAAAGAAGATCTGTTAGTAAATGTAAGAGCCAGGGTGCAAATTTCCTGTAGATGACTTTCCGATCAAGGCATTCTCCAGAAAGTGATGGAAAGTAAAAGACTCCAAATGAAATTCTATAAAAATTCCCAAATTAGACTAATTTATAAGAGTGCTTCTATCATCTTTAAACATCTTTTACAATGTTTTCAGTATGACAGTGTTATGTACAAAGATTTTTGTTATAAAAGCAGCGAGTTGTTTTAAGTGTTTACTTATCGAATTAATGCTGATACCAACTATCGATTCCCGTACTATCACTGAAGTTAATCAACGTCGAGCCTGGTTAGTACCTAGATGGGTGACCACTTGGAAATACCAAGTGCTATAAGTTTGGGTGTGGGGGTGATGTAATAAATAATGGGTCGGAATTGTTAATCGGAGAGCCAAGTTCCAATTCCAGTTAGTTTCATTATATTCAGTTACGCGCAAATACCCTTTGAAAATGTAAGAATTCGCCTATTCTCCCCTTATCTATGAGTTAAATAGTAAGACGTATCACTAAAACCATTATCATCCTCAAAAAATAAAATTAAATTGCGTCCAAATATAGTTTCCAGTATTAAACAATACGTAGAGGTTGACATGCAGTTAAAGAAAAAATAACCATTATCGAAGTAAGATCATTTAACTGGGTTGTCTGTCTCCTAAGTGAGGGTTTCGTTTCAGTAATGTACACGTTTTAATTATATTTATTACAATAATCCCTGTCTTGTTGAGAGCCAAGAAATTGATATACTATATTCGGTCAGTTATGTGCCATGCTTGATACACGCTTACGCGATCATGTATCTTTCGATATATGACTGACGAGGCAGATTTTTCCGCCGCGGTGGTTTATAATTTAGATTTCATGAATGTGTTATTAGTAATTATGTGGTTTACAGTCTTTCTACAGTATAGTGTAAGATTTACAAGTTTGTTAGTTTCGACGGGTGAAATGTAATGCTTTATTAGAGGTTGCATGGCTAATTCGCCTTGTTTATCATTATTATGGTTACAGTAAATGATATTTTTGTGCCATTTAACTTTAGGAACAACCTTATTTGTTTATCGATAATATAGGAGAAAATTACTGTTAACCAATATTAGAGTTCACTAGAGCAAGGTTTGAATGACCTATTTAAAGAACGCACATCTCTTGTTGGGTCATCTACAAAACTACAGGTTTTTTTCGAAAGTTTTGTCACCCCTACTTAATATAATTTTCTGTTTTAGAAGGCTGACACGAGAATGGTGGTGTTCATACAGACCTTCTCGATGTGTGCCTGTATCAATGAAAGTGAATAAACTGAATCCAGTACACGAGTTTTGCATTACGGCATCGCTTGTTGTTCTATTGTTCTCCTTGATTTCTGGTAGGCGGTGACAAGATTTTAAGACCACCCTATACATCTGTTCGCTTCATTTTCTTACCCGATACATAAGCAACATTAATTTTTAATCCGAAATTATTTCTTAAGTATAAAAGTTATTTTTAGTGTATACATGTGTTTGTGTTGACGTACCGGATTTTTTAAAAGTTGAAATTAACAAAAAACGGCCTCAAGTTGAATGTATGAAAATCCAAGTGATTGGAATTTAATAAAACTATAGCATCGAGGATTGAAATTTAAAAAGTTACACTGCTATAAGGTGGATTAACTGAGAAAGATCGTGGTTAGAGAGGGACAATTACGTTAGGAATGGCTGATCATATATGGACGGAAAAGAGTAGTCATCGGAAAGAAGTAAAAATACTGAACAAGGAAGAAAACTGTAGAATCAAACAAAGAATCAGCGCATATGCTAGACCTCCTGAGTTGGCCTAGCACAGAAAGGGAAGTCTCTAATGAAGAAAGGAAGACAAATGATAGCAGGTCTTCAGCAGCAGTAGTTGTAAAAAAGACGATATCTTCAGTGAGTGCAGTCAAATATGACAAGCGGCATTAGCAGACATAAACCGTGAAACGAAAATAATTTTCTTCCGAAGATTTAATTTCGAAATCCCCTATAGTTTACCCGAATCGACATACAAATGGTGAAGGCCAAAGGCGAAAAAACACAAAGAAAAGATGAAAAAAAAAGACGGAAAAAAAAGACGAAGAAAAAAAAAAGACGAAGAAAAAAAACAGACGAAAAACAAAAAACAGACGAAAAACAAAAAACAGACGAAAAACAAAAAACAGACGAAAAACAAAAAACAGACGAAAAACAAAAAACAGACGAAAAACAAAAAAACAGACGAAAAACAAAAAACAGACGAAAAACAAAAAACAAACAGACGAAAAACAAAAACAAAACAGACGAAAAACAAAAACAAAACAGACGAAAAACAAAAACAAAACAGACGAAAAACAAAAAACAAAACAGACGAAAAACAAAAAACAAAACAGACGAAAAACAAAAAACAAAACAGACGAAAAACAAAAAACAGACAAAAAAAAGCAAACATTTTTTTTGATTTTTGTTTTTTTCGCCTTTCAAACTTCAATTTCGGTGATTTTAGTAAGTATTGCATAATACAAACTTGCGAATAGTCAAATGTGTCCATCGCATACTAGTCTTGTTAAATATCTTTCCCAATGACCGCGATGAATCAACCGTCTGTCGACACAAATATGGACCCCCAGGTAGAGAATTCTGAATAGCATCCAAGAAATTGAACGCTTTCGGTAAAGAGAAAACAAAATCAAAACTACCTTATATTTCCTAAAATTTACATAAAAATACCAAAAAGAATGACACGACGTATTAATAACTATTCTTATCTACCCTCAAGTTAAACATAATAAATGTTATTGGTCTTTTGTATTTTTGGATATTATGCATCGTGCCCAAATTTTCTTGATAGATATTAAATTCAACACATGATCTTGGGTTACACTTGATTTTTAACCATTGTATACTATTAGCAAGATAATTCTTAAAAGGTACAGTTAGATAAATAGTGTTAAAAATGTTAGCCAAGATAAAAGGGGGGATAAAGCCATAAAACTGGATAATTACATTGCTTTTATATTAAAATAATAAAAAAGATTAGGAGTGGGAAATACACATTGGCTGAAATTGCAGAGAACTCTGACGGGATTCAATCTTACAGTCATGGGCGCATTCTTAGTAACGGAGAGAAGATATTTAAGCTTTGAAAGCCTTGGATATACAGAAGAGTGTTGGACTTGTTTAGCTTTTCTGCAAGTAATTATTTAGCAGAGTGAAAACCCGTTGCAGGGTTGAAGCTAAAATAATATTGGTTAAGTTATTATTTGTAGATAAGAAACACTGACTTGAAATGAAACTATTATATCAAAAAGCACGTCAGGCAGAGGACCGGCAACCGAGTCGCAGCGCGTCGCGCAGAGGACCGGCAACCGAGGCACAGCGCGTCGCGCAGAGACCGTAACCGAAACCGCGATAGCTGTGCATGAGACATCAACGCCACCATTTTTTCCGCATTCTCATTCAATCGTAGACAGAAAACAAAAATATCATTTTTCGCAGGCAAAAACTCACAGACGCCGATTTCAAACATCTGACCAATCAGCGGCCAGCTGTACACACAATGCTTATATGCATGAATATGAAATTGTTTGCATGCCCCGATATTATCTAAATGATTTTCCGGGCTCTTTTGAACTTTGTGATGTGTCCATCCATCACTGCGATCAACCGATTACATTTAATGATAAACACAGCAAAGGGCTAAATCAACTATTGATCAGATTCTTGGCACGTCGTCGTCTTCATCAAATTCATTCGGGTAAAGTATCTGAATAGAACAGTCTTCTACCCCCGCCAACAACATGGGCGTCAGAAGGCTGATTTTATTGTTAGCTATTCTTTTTTTTTTCTGAGATTATTATTTGATCATTTATTAAAACTGCCGGACTTCATCACACCCGGAGAAGCTTCGTTCAGTTTTCATCCCAAAGGAACATTTCAGAAGATAAAATAGAAATTGCATAGCGTGAGTCAACGAGATGTTCTTTGTTCGCCTTAATAACAATTGCTATTCATAGAGGCACGATACACTTGAAAATCTATTATGTAAACAGAAAACCCGGTCACTAGTTCCAATTATCACCAGAAGAAAAAGTGGAAAGGCAGGCGGACATGTGTGAATTCGTAGTTACTAATAAAAACAACGCAATAAAACTTTGCACAGCTTTTTCGATACTAAATATGTTGAATGAAATAAAAGGCGGAAGAATGCGATTAGGATTTTTTTTTCTGTAAGTTCGGTTTTATTTTGGTTGACCACGGGTAAAGGTCAAAGTTCAGCATGAAGTGGGAAAGAAACAAAGAAAAAAAAAAGAAGGTATGTTCATTTTGTAATAAAACCATCTCCGGAAGTTTTATTTTCAATGCTTTTCTTCATAATCAAGTCTAATTGATATTAATGTAATTTTAATACGAGCCGCAAACGAAATATACAGAAACTGAAACGTTAAACCGCTTATGACATTTCCTCAAAAAGCGAATGAGTAGACCGTGAATGCTCATGGCAATGCTATGCTATTGAAGAACATTTTTTTGGTCAGTGTTGCAATCACGCAAAGGTAATTCCAAATAATGTCCGCCAATCACCATTACGCTACCGATTTCACAGATAAAGAATTACTGAAATGGAAACAAAGTTTTGAAAATCAAATCTGAATAGACTAGACGTCAGAGGAAATCGTATGTATGTAAGTTTTATGTATCTCTTGTAGACTCCTCTGTGGAGTTTAGGGCAACAACTTCCCCATACTAGGTGATGGTATTGTGGTTTCTGTAGCAAATAGGTATTTACGTGTGTGTGTGTGGGGGGGTGATAGAAAACCACGCCCAAACGATTTTGAATTCAGAGTTGGCCTTCGCAGAAACTGGTTGCCAAACAATGCTAGAAATGTTAGTCTGCCCTGCTATTATCACTTAGCTGGGGACTGGGAGAGAAAAGTGATGGTTTTATACTTTTACAAATATATTTACGCGAAAGTGAAAGCAACTGCTACGGGTAGAATTTGAACTCGGCACGCCAGTCCCATTTTATGCGGTCACAAGGCTACGAAAACCGAAGAAACTTTAATTCACAGGCATTAAGTCACTGTTTAGCAAGTTAATATTCCAGACATTTGTCTAGTGCAGCGAGTTCGAAACTCGCGATATAGCAAACTGTCGTTGGCTTGAGCCAGACAAAGGTAATTATTTATGAAAATTATTAACTTCCTGCTTAAAGACTTTCTTTATACTTCAGGGCTATATCCATCTGCTGTAGATTGGATTTCATGAATGTGTTATTAGTAATTATGTGGTTTACAGTCTTTCTACAGCATAGTGTAAGATTTACAAGTTTGTTAGTTTCGATGGGTGAAATCTTTTGCTTTATTAGAGGTTGCATGGCGAATTCGCCTTATTAGAATGATAATAATTCTCTCTCTCTCACACACACACACATTATATATATATATATTTACGAATTTCAGTCAGTGTGTTTTCAGGACAATGGACACTTGCGACCGGCCGTTCTCTTGGGTGATGGTAGTTTTTTTTTTTTTTTTTTTTTAAATCGACATACACTCTCTTCAAATATATCGCCAGCCAAATTTAAAAGAGCTTTTATCTGCTTATTATTTGAGGAATTGTGGATTGATGCCAGCACAATCATTGACGGCTTCCGAATTGTTTCCTTTACTCAGTTTCACGAACAAGGCCTAAGTTCAACGCGTAATATGGGTTTCAGGACCTTTCCAAAGGTGTCACACGCTGGGATTGTCTCTTTAGGAAGATATTATCCGAAAATTACCCCCTTGGCTAGTCGACTGTAGTTATATTCGAATTCAGGTCTTATGGTTGCAATGCTAACTTGTTCAACGATATCGCTACGCGCCTTAACATCTGATACATTAAAAAAAAAAAAAAACTGCAGTTAATTCTTCGAAAAAATATAATATCTAAAAAGAATTATGAACTCTAAAAAAACTGTTGCTAACAACCAGAAACATTGTTCAAACTTTTAAGATACATAATCAGGAAGAAAATCTTGGAGGATTTAATACCCTCAGGCGGCATCGAAGGCAAAGAATGCAGTTCGAAACTTGCTTACATTTATTGATTGATTGTACGGCTTAACCTCATGCAGGTTATTAAATATCAGTTAATATTTTTGAATTGCAGGAACTCGTTAGAGATACTGATTTACTGATACAAGTCATACTAATTAACCCATAGATGGAGGGAGATCAGGTGGATTCATACATTTCCCAACGCTATTTGCGCGTAAGTGAATAAAATTAATCTGACTGGAATTGGATCTCCGATTTCCAGTTCCGACCTGTTATCCATTACGCCACCTGAACATCCAAGCTTCACCCATCCAGGTAATTACCAGACCCAATGTTGCTTAAGTTCAGTGATCGTATGAGAACATGTGTTTCAACATCATATGACCGTAAGCCATATCACCCACACATCCAAGCTTACAGCACCTAATATTCTCAAGCGGTCACCCATTCAAGTACTGACCAGGCAAACGTTGCTTAACTTCGGTGATCGTACGAGAACCGGTGTTTTAACGTGATATGGCCGTAAGCCTGTTTCAGTTTATGCAAATGAATAACGTAAATATCACATCGTAACACAACAGGAGAAAGTTTTTTTCTGAAAGCAGGAAAGGACAGGAAGCTGTGGAGAGCTATGCTCATCATCATCTTGAAGTGACACATGCATATGTCGAGAGCATATGTGAAGCGATAGTTGCTGGGTCTAGAATTCGGTCTTCAGCGGCGGTTTGTTGGCGTCTATACAGATATATCTAATTGGTATAATGACGATGACATTTGAAATTTTATATGAAAACAACATAACCGGTAGAACGTCAAGTTGCCAGAAAAAAAAAATAGTGCCCGTAATTATTAGAATAGTGGTATTCTGTACATTATTCTAGATTTTTCTTTTACTGTAAAGTCCCCTCTGTACAAAGCCCGGGGGCCACTCCTGGTAGAGGGTTACGTTAAGAGGCAGTTTATACGTATAAGAGGGATAGGATGACGTTTAACCGTAGATTCGAACAGGTTAAGATTGTAGTGATCGGAGAAACATCCTCTTGGGAGTCGGTTCCACAGAGCAGTGGTACGCAGATAAAAAAAAGAAGCTGTTCGAGTTTGAATCCTCATCAGAATACTACTTCATCAGCGTCGTCTCCAATGGTTCGGGGACGCAGCTCGACGCCCGGAGGGAGAGCTCATCCTGGCTGGCGAAAAGGTGTCGGTGGGCAGCTGAGGACGTGGGCTAGCACAATCAAAGATGACCTTGCAGTACTATCGGGTTCACAGGTAGTTGGTCTTCGACGATGGAATCGCGATTGGTTCGCCATTTCGTGTGACCTGGCTCAGGATCGACGAGCGTGGGCAGTGGTGGTTCGTGATGCTGTACTTGCTCGAGAGGAAGCCGGTTCAATCCGACCAGGGTGAAAACCGATACAAGGCAAAAAAAAAAAAAAAAAAAAAAAAAAAAAAAAGAATACTACTTGCTTTGTTAATTGATTTTATAGGTCAATCCTGATCATTCAGAGTAACTTTGCTAAACATTGCTTAATGGAATAAAATTTTAAAAATCATTTCACCCCAAGCAAGGCAATAAAAACCAACTAGGATGCAAGGGGTTACTGGGAGTGAAAGAAACCAGCAGAGGACAATAAAAGAACAGGCTTAAAGGAGCCAGAAGATGATGACTGACATTCTATTTACATTTTTGAAGATTGTATTTGACAAAAAAAAAAAAAGGAAACCGATAGCGGGTTCCACAAGCGCGAAAGGAGAAACTATTAATATAGAAAGTACGGTTATGACCAACAATTTCAATAGTGAATATATGAGACCTAACTGCCAATCTAGTACTACGCTTAAATTCATGAAGTATCAGAGGCAAAAAGCTCGTCAGAAGAATTTCCGTGAAAATATTTATAGAAGAGGTAAAAAAAAATGTCACGTTGGAAAAGTGACTGAATCCGAGATGCCAGATGAGGACCGATAACGTTGTTGATTCTTCTTTAGATAGGGTCAAGAATATACAGAGACAAAACAGAAGCCCCAGACCAGATGTGGCAGTAATATTCGATAGACGGACGAATGGTAGACTTATAAATGTGCAAGATAGATTCTGGCGAGAAAAAAATTGGACATTCCTAGCAGCAAGTCCAGCAATTGATTCAGTGTAATCATTCCACTTCACAGTTGATAAAGGCGTTAGTTAGAAAATGACAACCCAAAGAAGGCAAAACCTGGTTGCAGAGTCTGTCTATAAAATTCTGAGATGAGGACATCCATCAAAACATGGCACGTGGAACTGGAACAGTAGTGAGCGAAATAAAGGGTTCATTTCGAAATTCAACCACCTGAAGAAGGTCGGACTATTGTCCGAAACGTTGTATGGCGACAAAGATGAGGACAATGTCCGACAACGGTTGCAGTTACGCATTTAGTAGGATAGAGCTTGACTTAGGCCTTGTTCTTACGTCGCCTAGTGGATAAGGAAACTCAATGGAATTCTGCGAACTTGAACCAATAGTTCATTTCGAGTTGTCAATAGGGTTCACTGTTCTCTCAGAAACCAAAAACTCAAAAAAAGCCTCATGTTTTGATTTACGAAACTGTGGTCAGTTATCAGTTATCTAATGGAATCCAATAATAATCAAACCCTTAATTAATGAAAGAACAAGACAAGTTCTCGGAAGACTGAATTCATTGTTATAAGAAAAAATAAAGCCAAAAGGTATATGAACTCACCTCATCAACTATATTTTTTTTTTTACCTCCACAGATTAAACATGGTTTTATCGAAAGAAAGAATTAACTTCTTTTTCTGGGGTATTCTAAAAGAGAAGGCGTGCCCAATGAAAATCACACACACTTGATTAAACGCATAAAAGACCCAAATGGAGTTAGGCGAGTTAATCTTGCAAAGCACATCAAATCAAAAATGCTGGAAATCATATTGAAGATATTATCTGTTGATATTCCAATTCAATAAAATAATGTAATTTTTTTGAAAATATGCATTTTTGCCTATGTGTTAAAAATTTAGAGACACCCTATACCTAGAACCAGAACGATACAGTTGAAATTACTGGCACACACGAGGAGAGGGATCTTGGAGAATTTGACACTCAAAAGGATATACTTGAAGACAAGATTGACAGACGGAAACAGCGAGTGACCTACCTAACAAATTTGTGTGAATGAATGAGAGAAAAGGGGCAGGGGGAGATAGCAAACAGACATTACTCGGAACTACAAGGAATAGGATTGATTGTGTTTTTTACGGCTTATCAACCCTTTGTTGGTTATCTAAAACCTAACCATATCTTGGATGTAAGAATTTTTTTTTATTACGAGAGAATCCATTAACAATTTTTGAGAATGAAAATTATTTTCCAGATAAGAGTACTATTTAACCCATAGCTAGAGGGGAGAGAGATTCACACCTTTCCCCAGATATCTGCGCATAATACGAAGGATAAAAAGTTGTGGAAAGCCATTATCACGCACATCCTGAAGGGACACGGCATATAAAAAAAGATGGTCAAATGATACTATCTTGTTAACTATGACGATGCATCCCGAAAACAACAGTATTGTAGTTTTATATACCAAATACATGTGCCAGCATCATTACACCATTTCTTTAACCCCACAACCTTCACAACGGGGACTATTGGGCGCATTACGCTCATTATTTTGTTGAAAAATCCCCCTGTATGACTATTCCAGACAGTACTTGTATTTGACATAAAAAGAGCACCTGTATTAACGCAGTATCATATCAGATTAGAATTTCCCGGCAGCCGAATACAGAATCGCGTGAACTAACACCTGCATTTAGTTTCGCACGCGGGAAAACAAGCTACACGTCAGATCTGTGGCGGTTCCCCTAGAGGAACATAGGTTCGAATCCTGCTGGTGAAGGCATATTTTTCTAATAAGATTTCTCGAATATTCAGGGCGATAGGTGAAAATGAATACTATTTGGATAAATAAACAGAGCATATACTTAAATACGGCGATCCATAAAATAACGTTTAATATCATAAAAAATGTAGGATTAATAAATACATTCCTAAAAATTGCTTTTTTGCATTAGGATACGAAACTGAGTAGAGATATACGTTTCGAGAATCTGAAAAAAAAAATCTGTTTAACAGCACTATTCGGTTTTGCTAGGCGATCATGTTCATTGTAGCTTAGAGGTCAAATTATGTCAGATCTAAACAATAAACAACCAGAAGAGAGAGGAGTTGGAAATCTCGCAGACGAGAATGTAAAGGCTACGGGTCCGTAGAAATAGAGAGACGCACGAAGAGGACACGACACACCACAAGGAGACGCACGAAGAGGACGCAACACACAGAGAGACGCACGAAAAGGATACAACACACAGAGAGACGCACAAAAACAAAAAACAAAAACAAAACAAAACAAATAAAAAAACCTCACACACACACACACACACACACAAGAAAGCAAAACCCAAACAAACAAAACACAATTTGACAGTAATTAATGAAGTTAGATGTTGAAAAAAAAATGTAAAGTTAAATAGGAGAGATTAAGTCTGGTGTTATTAAACAGCACCGCAATATATTAACATCGACTCCAGTGGTTCCTGGGACAGTCTCAGACGAGAAACCAAGGTCCGCGTCCGGGATCTCGTAACATACGGGTCGACATTAATCGACCAAGAGGTTGAATAAAATCTTAAATGGGAGAAACTAAACCTGGCGATTTCATTGGTTTGCATTTCTATTTCATTACAGTAAACATTATCCTCTTTCTCTCTCTCCTCTATTGACATGCCGTATCCCCTCAAGATGTAAATAATCATTGCTCTCAACAATTTCCTGTCGCTTGCAGCTCTAAATTCTGTCTTTTCTTCATTTCAAAACCCTGTTCCGTCATCCATTTTTCAAGCTTGTTAAGTATGTTATGCGTTGTTTTCCTCTGTCCCTCAATCATTACGCCATTTCTGTCGTATTTACCGGAAGTGAATCAGTTGAAAAATTGATGCTTCCCCCAAGCATAAATACAGATCAATTTAAATACTTTTACATCGATATTTGTTAAAATGAATATCTAAAAAGCAAAAGAAATTTCCAAGACCTCCTTCCTCATTACGTACCCAAGAAATTTCAACTGTCTCTTCCTGGTGTTAAGTATAAGTTTCCTTTTTGGGTCTTTTTTCTCTGAAACCATATCATTGCGCGAATGTTCGGTTCACGTTATACTCAGGATCTTTCTGTAGAAAGACATTTCTTCAATTTTGAGGAAATTCTCCAGCATTCATTGCCATACAGTAGGACAGATATCACATAACAATTCAGTTCTCTTTTCCTTGTTTCTAACAAAGTTTTTCTGTCTCTTAATACTATTTGCTTCTGGAATGCATCTTTGGCTATCCTACTACGTCTTCGGATTTCAGTGTCGTATTTTGCGTTCTGTTACAACACTTCTCAGATATTTAAATTTTTGTGCTTGGTTGATTTTGGTATCTACGATTTTTAATTGGCATTTTGGGTTCAGTATGAACCCAAAAAG